GCACAACGTCGCTTAGGATTCAAACTTATCACTTTGTTTAAAATTAAAGAAAATATGCTTTTCTCACCATCTCATCCACTACTTCAATCTACTCCTTCTCATTACTCTCTCCGCTCAAATTACCAAGGCAATCTTAAACCAATTATTTGCAAATCCTCTTCCTTTCTTCACTCTTTTTTCCCATCAAGTATAAACCAACGGAACTCTCTCCCGTCCTCTATCAAACTATCTCTCTCTATCTCTAAACTAAAATCATTTATCTCATCTAACTTATATTGATCTATTATTTGTTAATTTATTATTAGCTTTTGCTATGATAGTTAAAAAAAAAAAAAAAAAAAAAAAAAGGTTTGTCCCATAATTCCTGTTCTTTTTGTACCATAAAGTATAGTAAGAATGCAAAACCTTTTACCTTTCCTTGATAAATGGAGCAATTCCCACCATCAAGTTTCTCGGTAACTATAACTTGTCCTTTTAGAAATGGAGGTCTGAGCAAAGCGAGTAACCAAGAACATCACAATATTACCAATTCTTACAAAATTCCTACTGGCAAAATAACATCATCTTCTTGAACACCTAAACACATCATGACCAGCTGGTGGCTGTAGGTCTGTACCTCTCACCTGGGCTAAAAGGTAGATGAGGAGTTCTAGGATATTTCCTTGGAGACGCCATTTTATTATTAATAACTAGGCCTAGTTAATAAATTTTGTTCAAAATTTGTTTTGAAAGTTCTGTTCGTATAATTAGAACAATATAGTTTAATACGGTGCATTTTCGACCAATCAGATGACAGGGTGGGAGATGAGTATCATTTTTGGCGGGAGGTCAGCTGCAATCAGATTACTAAAGAAGAAGAAGATAGAGCTCTCTTTATTAATAAAAAGAAAAATGATAGGAATCCACGATGAAGAGGTCGAGCTAAGCCAAGAGTCGGAGCGAATCCCTACTCTCCGCAGCTCTGGTGTGGGGAACAGACTGGTTATCATTGAGGGGAACATTGGTATGAATAGTTTGTTTATTAATTTTGTTTATTTCTTTTTTGCAGGTGTTGGGAAAACCACTCTAGCCAAGAAGCTATCCCGTTCCCTGGATTACAAGCTGTTCATTGAGCCTACCATTGAGAACCCTTACCTGGAGAGGTTCTACGCTCAACCAAAGAAGTATGCTCTTAGTCTCCAGCTGTGGATACTCCGTCAACGCTACAATACTTACCTCGAGGCAGTCAGACACGTTTTAGCAACAGGTTTGCATGCTGTATATGCAATATACAAACTATTAAAAATTAATTGTAATTGGGGAATATAATTAATGAAATTTAAACATTATTATTATTTAATAGGGGGAGGGGCTATTCTTGATCGATCTGTCTTCAGTGACGTTGTCTTTGCTAACGTCTGCACTAAAGAAGGTTACATATCAACTGAAGGTATAGCAATAATTCTCAGTGTATTAATGATGTCCTTTTGTGTGTTAAAGGATATTCACGTTACGGGCTATGGAGGGAGAAGGCTCTACAGCACTTACCTGTTCCTCATCTAACGGTCTATCTTGATGCCTCTCCTCAATGCTGTCACTCGAGGATACAACAGAGAGGGAGGGTAAGGCTCTGATCATGTGATTGATCATGTGATCATCATGTGATCATAGGAGTGTGAAGGAGGAGTCCCACTGGATTATTTGACAAAGTTACACGAAGAGTACATTGTTTTCTTAGAAGATATGAAGTAATTGATTTATTATTATTATTATTATTATTATTATTATTATTATTATTAATTTTGCTCTTTTTTTGTTAGAGAACTTGGTTCTACTGTCCTTCATTACAACTGGTCGGATTTTCAGAAAGAAGAAAAGGTAGAGAGAGAGGGAATGGATTTATTAATAATTATTATTTAAAATTTTTGTAGATTGTTTCGACCATTTTACAAGCAAAGGCAAACAAGTGGCATCACATGACAGAACAAAAGTAATAAATATTTAATAAATAAATTTTATATTATTTATTTTTTCTCAGGTATGCCCTTCACTCTCCATTATTTCAATCGTCATTTCTCAATGAACTAGAAAACTAAATCTGGGAACACACACACATCTTGCAGTTATTTATATTAATAATAATAATTATTAATATTTTATTATTATTTCATGTCACAGCAATGTTAGTTTGAGGTGTAATTCTTCGGCTGGTCGGAGGAGAACCACAGGAAGAATGTCTAATCTTTCCTTTATCCTCTCATCACTTATTTCCAGTGAAAACCTAACGAAAATAATGATCAATGTATGATTGATACCAATCAATTTATGATCATGGATCACTGATATCAATCAATGCGTGATCACATACTTGTTTAGTATTGATGCAATGACAACTTGCTCTTCGTTAAATGCAAAATTCTGACCAATGCAATTCCTAAACAGTAAAAATGATTCAAAAGAACATTCTATTCTTCTGCTTGCCTTGGTCCTGCAGAGAAAGGTACAAAAGAGAAAGGATCTCTTTCTTTGGAATGCTCAGGATGAAATCTTAACGGATCATATTCCTATGGCAACATTATTAACAATTACAATTAGTGTACAATTGCTTTTACCATTGGATTCTTCCAAATGTTAGGGTTCCTGTGTATTCCTGTTATATCTATGATAATCATTGCTTCTAAATAATAATAATAATAATAATGATAATAATAATAATAATAATAATAATAATAATAATAATAATAATAATAATAATAATAAATAAATAATGAGACCTTTTGGTATGTAGTGTCCTCCAATCACAGTATCTTCAGTAAGAGATCGAAATATATTGAAAACTGGAGGATTGAGTCTCATTGCCTCTTTAATACAGCACTGAGTGTATTGTAGCTTGCTTAAATCATCACTACAGCAAACATAAATTCAGTTATTATTATTATTATTATTATTTACTAGTCAAGTTGGTTTCTTCCTCTAAGTACATCTCTCACTTCTTCTCTACATTTCTCTTGAATCTCAGGATACTTTGCCAAATAGTACAGGGTCCACGTTAAAGCTATGAATAATATCAGTATCAATATCAGTATCAGCATCAATATCAGTATCAGCGTTACCATTTGCTGTTGTATCATATCCTTCAAATACAAACGTATCAACTTCATAACGAATCTCAAGATCACTCAATCCATCACCATCTTTTCTTTCCTAATCAAATACAACAACTTGCTCTTCAGCCATTGCTTGTCTTTCTCTCTCACTTTGTTAGCAAGGAGTAAGATGTCAAGGAAATCTAAACACTTCAACTTTGATTTGGCTATTCTTTCTTGTCTTCCCTCATTCATCAAGACAGCTTTCCTCTCTTTTATTATCTAGCAAAGAGCAATCATTATTCATCCAACTTTAAAACTATTAATTAATTAATTATTTATTTTTACTTTTTCTGAATGTTTGTGCGTCTCTTTCAGTGCTTTTCTGTGTCTCCAGCCTCTTGAGGTCAAATAAAAATAAACAAAATTATTTACAGTCAGTAACGGGTTCCTGCATTATATACAAGAAAAAATGACATAAATTGTAATTGAATATTGAGCAGTTTTACATAAAGCGCTCAGCGGAAAGATCACAGAGATCAAGGACAGCTTTAACATAAGGATCATTTCTTCTAAAAATACAAAAAAACAAATTTGATATCTGATATCAGATTAACCATTACCCTTTCTCCTGACAGCTGCTAAAGTGTGAGCAAGCACAGCGTAATATGACATCCAGCGTTAACTGATTAATTGTGTTATATACTTCAACTGTTTCTCCATTCAGTGCACTCTTCTCCCATTTACCCTGTTTAAACCAGCAAAATATAAAACAATGGGGCCCTATCTCATACCAGCAGTATATCAGTGCAGTCATTATATACATGTACGTAAGGTTTAAGGACATCAAAATGAAAAGCAGGTGTCAGCAAGCGCCTGTTTGAGAACCAGCGGGATCCATTCTCAATCAGGAGTCCTCTACCTGAGGGGTAGGGTATCATTGGAGATCAATAGAATTCATTATACCTAGCCAATCCTCTAATAATGAATAGGCTTCAGGTGCTTTAGGATCTATAGTTAATGGACAGTAGACATGAGGAAGGTCCGCACATATTTCATTACTTTTCATGACAGCTTTGAAGTATTCAGGTAAGTGGAGTGACACCATTGCCCTAAATGGGCCCAGCCAGAACACGTTAATGTTAATGTTATTCTTCAGCCTCCACGCATATACTTTATCTGCAAAGGACTGATTGAGCTCAATCTATATACCAGAGGAAGATTTGGTGAGGAGGTTTCAAGAGGGTCTTACAATATTTGCATGTCCCCAGAACCAGTGAGGGGGTGCCATAGTCGGGAGCTGTCTCATTGCTTTGCAGAGATTGTAATAACGCCATATCCTCCTCGGGAGGAACAAGAGAAGGAGAGAGAACAGGAAGAGGAGCAAGAGAGAAAGGGCCATTTAATCTATGAATAATCATCAAACTGGAGGCGTGGCTGGTTTCACACTCTTATTTAACGCCCACTCAAATCAATTAATTTATCACTGAGCATAAAGTCAATCATGCATAAAGTGCTGCCATAGAAAGCGCCATAATAATTTAATAGTTTATTGTCATTTTCATTTTCATTTTTTAATAAAAAATTAAAATAATAATAATAATAATAATTGTTAGTCTTCAGAAGGACTTAACGCAGGCTTAGGAGGTGTGGCATATTGACGAGAGACACGCCCACTATTATCTGGTAGTATCTCGATATAGTTTGATGGTATTAATCTAAAAATAGCAAATAATAATAATAATAATAATAATAATAATAATAATAAGTATTAATTTTACCCTGATCGTCTGTTTCTTCCAACTAAGATCCAACCAGTTGCTTGAGGCTGTAATGAAGCAGGTGCAATGACCTGTTAATGTATTAATGACTTTAAAACTTCATAAAAAATCCAAACACGATTGGAATCAGCTCAAACTTTCTACGCAACATCAAAACATGTATATGTATCAAAAAATGTAATAAAAATTGAGAATTCTCTCCTAGTCATTTTCAGCAAAATTTGGCCAAAGTCCCTGTACTATAGTACAGGGACTTTTACCCGATTTTGGAGCAACTTTAAAAATTCGTAAAAAATCCAAACTTGATCAGAATCACCTCAAACTTTCTACACAACATAAGAACATGTAAATGTATCAGAAAATATCAAAAAATCAAGAATTCTCTACTTTTCATTTTTGGTGAAATTTGCCTAAAGTCACTGTACTATAGTATAGGGACTTTGGCCCAATTTTAGAGCAACTTTAAAAATCCAATAAAAACAGTACTGCTACTAGTACAAGAGCTCTTTCCCTCCATTAAGTGCTTACCAGTTCATCTCCAGCTGCTACTGATAGCTCGTTCTGCCTTTCAGCATTAAAGTCATAGAGTGCTCTTGCTATAGTACCCTGAGGAGACCTACAATGTTGAAGATATTAAGTTATTAATGCAAGTACATGTATAATAGTTAATTTATAATAACACTCACCAGCTGTCAATTGAACTGCTATTATCCTCAACTAAAATCAAAAATAATTATAAAAATAATAATGATAACTATTACTCACATACCTGCCGATACCAGCAGTCTCCATAGCAACCAAGGCACACCCACAATAACAGTGAAAAACATGACCACTGGCCACAACCTGTTGAGAGGAGATGATGAAACATTAAACCAATACCTGTACATGTATCATGAAATAACGGAAGTAGGAGGGGCTACAGTGCATGTACACACCTGGGAGATTGGGAGGGGCCTTCAGCGGACTGACTGTGTGAAATATCACTCCATAATTCATCCTAATAAATAAATGAATAAATAAATAAATAAATAAATAAATGAATTAATGATTCAATAGTTTACTGATTGGTTATAAGCTCTTAGTCTCAATATTGCTAGTAATCTCCTCAAAAAATGCTGCAATCGTCTTAAAAGAGTGATGGCTGACAATATTGACCAGATTTGATTCCTAAAAATATTAAGAGTATGTAATGAAGCATAATAACTGAACTATCTCTAGTTACTTTAAACGTGAAAAATGTTGTGCCACGCCCAGCAAAGCTCTAAAGCAACTCTGAACTGCAAAGTACGTTGACTCCAGCATCATTGTGACCTTAATACAATTATTAATAATATACATTATTAATAATATACAATTATTATACAATTATGCTTAACTTACGGAAGCAAAAGCACCCACTACTGATTCAACCGATTGAAAAGCTGAACGAGTTCTTTCCTAGAGGAGACAGTAAATTCTTCCTCCCTCCCTCCCTCTCTCTCTTACCTCCGCCCTCCTCATCATAACTGACTCCTCATTATTATTAGAGTACATGCCGTAAGTATTAGCACCAGCTGTACCATACATACCATAAGGACGATAACCGCCATAACCTGAATAACCTGAATACATATTACCATAGCCTTAGGAGAGAGAGAGGGAGGGAAGAATAGAGTTGCTTAATGAAAGGCATCAGCATACCTCCACCATAAGGATAGGTTGGTGTGTAGTAGCTGTTTGACAGATAAGGTGAAGTGCCGTATCCTATTAACATTAATATCATTATTAGTAGTATAATGGTATCTTTAATAATTATTATTGTTTTTAAAAAGGAAACTTAATACATGGTACAGCAGATTGATGATGAACATTTATATTGATAATAATAATAATAATATATTGATAATTAAAATAATAATGTTATAAAAAGTGCAACATATAAATCAAACACAAGGACAACACTATAATACAATAATTACATAATTAATTAATAAAATCAGTTAATATCATCTGACAGCAAATCGTCTCATCAAGCTAAGCCCCGCCCAGACTCCAACTCCAATTATAATCAACGGCAATCCATTCTGCAGTACCCTCACTGTTACTGGAGGGGGAGGAGCTTCTGCTGAGACCACACCCACAGGAACATCCTCTCGCTGGCCAGTAGCATCATCACGAGAATTAGACTTCTCTGCCAAACCAGATTTCAAATCAGTTGTTACGACAGTAACGAGTTCTTTCTGGTCGGAGGTTTCACTGCTTGTCATGAGAATATCATCACCTTCTGACTCCTCCCCCTCGTTGCTTTTGTCCTCGCCCACATCCTGTATGAGTGGCTCATATTCCACTCCCTCTATCTCGTATCCCATCAACGACTTACGGACGTTCTCCTCAAACTCCTCCCACTCAATCTCCCCGGCACTAAAGGAAGGGTTGAGAGGGTCGTCAAGGTTAGGATTATAAAACAAGAACAGGAGACCCTGGACGTAGTCCTCAAGAGTCAGGTCAGGGTTCCACAACTCGTCAAGAAGATTAAGACAAATCTCACCCTCGGAATACTCATCAATGGCGTCGATATTAGGATGGTAGACTTTGGTGAGGCAGTTGATGACAGGTGGGGAGACGTCAGGGTAGCCATCAGACAGATCCAGTTTAAAAACGAAGCTGCCTCCTTTGTAGGGCCCATCGTTGGGGGATATGCTCACGTATATTACAGAGAGGTCATCCTCATCTTGTCCACCATCTGGTCCCTGGGTAATGGCAGCCTGACCATCACTGAGCAGCTCTATCCCACGGACCAGGGACTTGTACTGTTTCATTATCTCTGAGGTAGACCTGGAAGCCATCTTCTCTCTCTCTCTCTCTCTTAGACACTAGTTATATGTAAAGGTGCTAGTCTTCAGTCTATCTCACTCTTCTTCTTGTTGCCTTTCTGAGGGGTTCTTCTATGTCTGCTTCTATCATAATTCCAGAGACACAGTCTGTCTGTAGCTCTTACTCCATTACTGTGCTGCTTTCTTCTTGTTATTGTAGGAGACAATGAGAAATAGAGAGAGTGTGAGCCGTTTTTATAAGACGAGGCATTGTTGCACCATCATCACTACAACTATGACGCCATTACTACTGTACTATTTTTAGAATGGGGAGGATATTTTAAGCACAATAAGCAATGATGTAATATCCACGCCCTTTAGCTGAGCCACGCCTATAACAAGGGCCCTGTTGTTTCATTTCGCTTATTTTATTGCATTAAAAAGTTTAAAAGTAATGTCTTTTCTATCTGATCTTACCTGTGGCTCCATTTAAAGTTGTTAGTGCATTTGATTGCGGACGAGGAGGTACCACTGGCTTTACAGGACTGCTGCTGCTTGCTTGGGCCTCTCTCTTTCTTTCCTCTCCTCTTTGCCCGCCATTATTAGCTGGAAAAGAAGATGAGCCGCCTCTTTCCCAAGGCTTTAAAGGAGTAGCCATTTTGAGTCACCCTTTTGTAGGTGTGGCTAGTTATTAGAATTTTAGTTATTAAGTTTGTAATTATCCGTTTATACATTCCTCTACATGTAATTTTGAAATACCAAAATGGCTGCGGAAAGTGTTGATATAATCGAAAACTTTGAGAAGGATCCTCCCGAAAAGGAGCCTGACTCTGTCCCAGACTCCGCGCCAGAGGGAAAGGAAAAGAAAAAAGGAGAGAACGAGACTGATCCCAAGCCCAAGGAAAGTGGAGTAAGGAAGAGAATAAAGATTAACCTCCCGGGGATCTACAGTACTGATAAGACTTCAAAAAAACCACCTGGTATGTGAAAGACAAATGAATGTATATACATCGGAGTATAAATTAAACTGATTCATAGGTGGTTATGTTAATTAAAAGGGGTTTTGTTG